TCCGCCTAAACCCCTCCCCCTCTCTCCATACAGACAGACAGACACTCGGTCGGCAGCTCAGCCGCCCTTTGCCCTTTATCCATTCCAAAACTCCTTCATCTGCTCCCGGGCCCCCGCCTGCCGGCTTCTCCTCTCCTTCTCCTCTCTTACTTCGACCCCTTTCCAGGCCATCAGAACTGCACGTTGATTAGAACACATCGCACATCGAGCTAGCTATTCGAGCCTGCCGACCCTCAAGATCAACTGAGTGGCCGAAGGCTGGAGGTGTACATACATACTTGCAAAAATCCTTCCGATGGTGGAAGGTATTGCGCCCCTAGTTGATGGACGGTGGTGACCTGGGATAAAGTATGCGAACCGACCCGGCAGATTCCGTTGGATGCTGGTGGTGGGTGCGGAACCTGAGCGATCCACTGAGAAGTTGACTAGGGTGACTGGATGAGGTTGCCCCGAAATACCGGGGAAGGCAGGGTTTCGCAGGGTAGCTGCCACGGGCGAAGATATAACCCCCTTTTCACACATCATACTTGCAAACAAGCACACATAGATAGACATTCACGCCAAAAGAGTGCACGAATGATTCCTGTTTTTTTCTTCGTCTATGTCTGTATGTCCGTGGGTATCTCCACGAAACACACTCACACGCAATGTAAAAGGGCTTCAATCCTACATACATACGTACAAGCGCATGTTCACTCCTAAGGTCTAGGAAACGTATGTGTACAGGCGGGGATGTGCTAATGGTGGTGAAGTAGTGGTGGTGAAGTGGTGGTGAAGTGCAGGTGGCGCTCAAGGTGCCCTCCGTCCCTCCTCCTCTTCCTGCTCGCCCCCACAAGCCCTTGCCTCCTTCACAACCCCCCGGACCCGTGCACTGCTACTGCTGCTACTGCTGCTGCTGCTGCTGGTCGTGGCGGTAACTATACTTTGGCGCACAGCGGCAGCCTTCAGAACACGTGGTAACATTTCTTCCCGCATTCTTCCCCGTCTAGCTACCTCTTATCTCTCTGCAAGTGTACGTACCTAGACATTGCCGGGAGATGTTTTGACTCCCAATCCCCCCTCCCGGCTGATCACCACTCCGCCTTGCTAAACACGTTTCCACACACACACACACACACACACACACACACACATAGGCGCACACACACACACACACATAGGCGCACACACAGGCGCACACATTTATACATACGAACTTACATAAGACGCTCCATTTTCTCCCGCTCACATACATACATACATACAGATAGGCACAAGTTTAAGCACATTAACATGCACACACAGGCGCAGGTGCATGTATCCCTGATGGCGCCTCCCGGGCATTGTGGCAGATGGACAAATGTGCTCTTTTCCAGGGCAACTAAAGGTACATACATACATACGTACATACATACGCAGCGGATCTGGCGCCGCATCCTAAGGTCATAATAATTCGTAGTACGGCTTTAGTCTCGGACCTTCCAGGGGCGTGTTCATGTCCTTCTGCATAGACACGGGTAGGGAGTGCGGCGGCTCCTGATACGGTGTCCTGATATGGCGTCAATGCGGTCGTACATTCACACGCACCAATGCCGGTACCAGCGCGCGACCGGCAGGCCCCTTGGGCCACCACCGCCGCCCCCGTCATCATCAATGTGACGCCTTCCGGCCGCCCACCACCCTCATCGCCGACTTGCCGTCCGCCACGGCCGCCACCGCTGCTGCTGCCGACCCCGTGGACGCCCCTCCGGGTACCGTTGCCGTCACCTTGGCGCCACTGGCGCGGCTGGCGGCGGCGCCCGTAGGACGCAGAGGGCTGGCGGCGACCGAAGCTGCCGCCCCCATGCTCGGCATCTTGCCGAACCCGACCGCGGTGGCGGTACCGCTGCCGCTGCCGCCGCTGTTGCCCACCGCCTCGCTGCCGCCGCCGCCAAACGTGCCCAGCATTCCCGTGGAGGCACGCGTGCGCGCGACTGGCTTTTGTAGGTCCTGCTCCACGGCGGCGTCATCACTCAGGTCGCCACTGTTGACGGTCGCCAGCCCGCCGCCACCGCCGCCGCCGCCACAACCAGTACCGTTCGAGGTGGCGCTGAACATGCCGCCTCCGTCACCGGTGAATGATGAGAAGCGGCGGCTGTATCCGCCACCGCCGGCGCCCGACCCCGCACCGCCGACTGCCACCGGGTGCGGTACACCTGGCGGCGGCTCCGTCGTCGACGGGCTGAAGAGCAAATCCACGAAACCTCCGGAGAGAACGCTCCAGGGCCGCGGCGGATCGGAAGGATCTGACAGCTGTACGGCGGCGGCAGCGGCGGTGTACACGGTCGGGGTGCCGGTGGCCGCAGCGCCGTCGGAGGTATCAGCAGCCGAGCGACTGACAGGAGTGCCTAACGTGGACAGCAGCATCGGCGGCGGCAGTTTAGCTGGCGATGCTTCTAACCTGGGCTGTAGTCCGGAAGTCTGTGGGCCGTTGCCACTGCCATTGCCAGAGCAGCGAGGTGTGTGGTGTTGGTGATGTTGATGTTGGTGGTGTTGGTGATGTTGGTGATGTTGGTGAGGCGAGCGCGACGGCAGTAACGGCATCTGGCGCGGGCTGGCGGCTTGTGATGCCGCACCGGTGCTGGTGTACGGCCGCAGCGCCTGTGCCAAGAAAGAGTCAGCAGTTCCCGCAACATCCAGATCGCTCCCGGGGAGGCCTTGCAGCGACGGGTTGTCGGGCTTCGCTGCCTTGGACGACAGGCTGCCTCCGCCGCCACCTCCGTCGATATCGCTTGTGAGCGCGGCAATGGAGTCATGCGCGCCATCGGCGCCGCCTTCCAGACCTGGGTGAGCGACCCGCGGGTCTGGAAACACACGCCTACCGCTACGGCTTTGGCTTAGGAACCTAGGTCCGGCGGAGCTGCGTTGCGGTTGCGGTGTGGTAGCAGCGGCGGAGGCAGCGGAGGCGCCTCCGCTGCCTCCCCCGCCGGCGACGGAAGCGGGAGACGCTGTGGACGGCGGTGAAGCGACGGGAACAGTCGTACCGGCGGCGTCCAGCAGGATCACTGGCGGTGGCAGCAACAGAGATAATGCCGCTGTTGTGTGTTGCGATTGCGCTACAGGCTCCGAGGCCACGGTGGACGCGGCGGCCGTGTTGGCAGCACCTACGGCGCCGTCAGGTGCTCCTGCTGCCGGGTTGGACCCCGCCAGGGCTCCCGCAGGTACCGCCGCTACCGCCGCCGCCGCCGCCACTACTGACACAAATGCCGAAGCGGGCGCATGTTCTCTTTGCGTCCTCGTCTGTCCAAGAGGACCGTTGCAGTCGAGCCGAGTGCTGCAGACCGCGGATGTCTGCAGATGTCTGCGGGTATTGTCAGTGGTGGCCGTGGCGGCGGCGGCGGCGGCGGTTGCCGCCAGGTCTGGTGTTGAGCATCCAGTGCTGTCGCCCGCCGGCGTATCCGTACCGCCGCCACCATCTTCCGTACGGCGGCGGCAACTGCTTCGGGAAGGGCGGTCCGTCAATGTCTTTTGCGCCGTTTCAATGCGCAGCGATTGGTACCTCCCTTCCAGACGCGGACGCAACAGTCGCCCTTCCGCTGCTGCGGCGGCCGCCGCCGCCACCGGCGGCGGCATACCCGCTGCCGAGCCAACGTTGACATCACTTCCGGAAGCAAGGCCTATGCTTCCGGCGCTAGCCATACCGCTGCTGCCGATGCGCAACCCCGCCGCCGCCCACTCCAACGACGGCTGTACACCCACCCCGCCGCTGCCGCAGCCGGCCGCAGCGCCGCTAGCGCTGATCCGTACGTTGGGCTGCGGCGGCGGCGGCGACTTGGATTCGCTGCTGCTTCTGTGGCGGCCCCGCGCCCCACTCGCTCTTGATGGGCCGAGATCATATCGGGCCTTACGTCCCTGACCCTGAAACGTGTTCAGCACTTGAGATGACAACGGTAACGGCCTGCGGTCGTTATGTGCAGCAACCGTAATCTATTGTGAGCAACGGTCATAGCATTTCCGGCATGACGTCACAACGACCCATATCATATCAATACAACTAAAAACCTTCTGCGTTTTTCCACAACACAGGTTCGAGAATCCTCTGAAAGCCAAATAAGCCCAGGGCTGCGCAATACTGTGCACAGTACAGTGGCGGGGGCCGCTGCAGTAGCGGCAACCCCTGGGACGCAGCGGGGACGCCAACAAGATCATCATCCTGATGTGGCGGCGAAAGAAGGGAGGCTGAGAGGAAAAACTGAAATCAGTCAACTCACGCGTCTAGCCTGCGCACCACAAAAGGCACGCAGCGGCCCAGCGCCAGCACCAGGGCGGGCAGACGGGTGACGGAATCTGGCACCATGTCCTTGGGCCGACTGTGGCCGGGAGCGGGCTTGAAGAGCGGGTTCCGGAGCAGGGCGGCGCAAAGGGCCCGAGCGAAGTGGTTGCAGTTGCGGCTCAGTACTGGCGGGTCGAGACCGGGTGGGGCGGGGTGAGACGGGGGGAGAGGGGAGACCACATGTATCGGCGGAGGGGAGGGGAGAGGGTACGGGGGGAGAGGGACGCGGTGTCGCCTCAGATGCAGGGTGATACCACACTCTCTCATGCCGTCATGCGCACCAGTCACTCCCCTCTCATGCATACACATATACATATATACATACATACATACATACATACATACATACATACATACATACATACATACATACATACATACATACATACATACATACATACATACATACATACACACACACATGCATACACACATACACACACAACACGTCGCTATACCGTTTTCCCGAACCTGCCCTTCCCCCGACATACGCTGGCGGGGAAACAGGCTCCTAGGTCTCCAGGGCAGCAGACCGTCGTACTCACGAGCACGATGCGATGCTGCCGTCCGATGCGGTACAACCCGGCGCGCATACATGCCCTAAAACACGTCCCCCTCGTTTCCCTCCAGTGCCGTACTCACACTGGTATGTGGAGCCAATCCAAGACTCCTAAGAGGCGGAGGGGGGAGGGAGTGTGAGCCGTGTGGTGGTGAAAGGGGGGAAAGAGGGGGGGGGGAGGTGGGGGGTTGTTGCACTGCCAGCGAGAAGGCCAGGGGGGCCCCGGGGGTGAGGAGAAGGTACTGGAAATCATTTTGAGGTCGCACAACCCATACATACATACATACATACATACATACATACATACATACATACATACATACATACATACATACATACATACATACAGATGGGCCCTGCGGTCATTGAGATGAGCATATGCGGGTATCGGCGATTGGGTGCTGTGGGTGGCAAGTGGACAGGGGCGACCGTGGGGTGACAAGAGCTGAACTGGCGGGGCAACAGAAGACCTGACCTGTCGCACAGAAAAACCTTTTGGGATTACTCGCTGCGGTGCGGTGCGGTGCGGTGCGGGGAGAGATGGCAGAAATGGCAGGAGAGGGGCACGGGATGTAGATCGGCTGTGCGTGTGGAGGGAAGGAGAGAGTGTGAGATGCCGGGGGCTGCCACGGCGACGCGAAACGGCAGCACGTACCAACCAGAGGGCCACTAACCCAACTCCCCCCCCCCCCCTTGCATCCCCATTTTTCCCCCCTCCCCTTCCACACTCCGGCAGCACCCCAGCCGCCCCCATGCCGCCCACCACAGCCACCAAATCGTCCCCGGCCCCGGCGCACCACCTTCCCACGCCACACCAATACCCCGCCCCGCAGGTCCTCACATCGAACCGCAGCTCCCGCAACAATAACTCCAAATGTGACAGGGGTGCCATCCACCAGCCAACCACAACGCGAGACCGAAGCGTCGGCATCCACTCCAAATTGGCGGCCGCACTGCCGTCATCATCTGCAGCACACGCACGCACGCACATACATACATACGTACGCCGTACATGCGTTAACAACAAATGTCTAAAACAGTGCTGTAAAATGCATGCACACATACAGATAGACATGTAATATCACGCCTGCCGTAGGTACCCGCTCCCCGGGTTGTCGAAGGGGCTGTGGACGTGATGATCGCCCAGGGCAGGGCAGGACAGGGCAGGGCTAGGAAATAGGGAAGGGAAATGGGGAGGCCAGGGCAGGGCAGGGGTTGAAAGGGGGCCGATTACTCAACCCCCAACCAACCCCAACCCCTGGGCCCTCCGCAGCAAAACCTTCTAAGCCGGGGGGCTAACGGTCCAGAATGGTAGAGAAGGATGCACGGGGCACGGGGACGGGGCCCCCCTCAGCACTCACCCTGCCCGGAGCGCACCGCCGCTTCCGCCTCCCCGCGGAGTTCAAACAGCGGCTTCTTGAGCGCCGTGATACCCAAGTCGTCGTTGGTGTGGCCGCCAAAGGCATATTCAGTGCTCCCTACCTGGATTCCCGAGTGGAAAGCTCCGCCAAGTCGCAGGAAGGACAGGCAGCCTGGTCAACCATAACGAACCGATGTATGCAATTGAGATAGGGTCTGGTCAAATTCATGCTAAGAGGATAATAGTAACGAGTTGCGTTTAGTAAGATTGCTTTTCCTAAAATGGATTACAAAGTCGCACGTGAAAGCAACGTGACAATAGCACATCCCGAGAGCGACACGATGGCGCCGCGCACATTTTAAGTTCATTGCTCACCATTCAAGCGAGGAGGTAGGAGATCGTAAACATTTAGGACGACTTTATAGCCTCGCACCAGCGTGTGGCTATGGCACCAAACAATGTCGGGAGGACCCCATGGGTCGAGGTAACGTCCAAGTAGCAGCTGTTTTGCAAGCACAGCTCCTGTAGTACGGAACGTGCGGACGCGCTTGTAGCGAAATATCTTTTGCGGGGCCGCGAACGTTTGTGCGTCGTGCTCCACATGCCAAACTGCCAAACGGGAGCTATGATACTTACGATCTCGGTCGGCCTTCTTCTCGCTAGTTTGCCTTGGAACTATGTGCGCCGGTATGGACATTCAGGAATAGGGAAATACCGTGTGGCTGCCGAGTGCAGACGGCTCTGCATTACGCCCTGTATTTCAATGCCATTGTCCATACATTGGTGGCATATTGGTAAGATAGGATGTAGGCACCCCGGCATGGAGGAGTAACTGCCTGCTCTGCAAGTCGAGTTCTTCAAGTCTTCGTCCTCTTCGCAAGTTAGCCATGTATTACAGCGCCTCAAAGAGACATTGTTTCGCCTCTATAAATCGAGTTGAGAATTGAATTCTATAATTCACAATTCGGAGTTCAGTGAGCACACCGAAGAAGCATAGCTACGCATAAAGGTCAACATGGCATCTAAATTTTTTGCTGTGTAACGTTTGAAAAAACAAGTCCTTACCTCTTGGAGAAAACCGTACTGTTCTTCTACCAACGGTCGCTTCCGTCTATCTGCGCCGAGACAACAAATCGAGCACCCCTTTGACCATAATGAAGCTTGACCAAATCTGCAGCACATCATTATTAGATGTTCTTTCATTTATGTGTGAAAATATTTGAATGAAAGCTTTCAGGGTAGTGAGATCGGCCATTGCTGCCGTTGGCTTGATTCAGCCCTTGCCCGCCGGCCGATAGCTTCACCGCCGTAACAACCGAATCCCCTCTTGATTGCAAATGACTTTCAAGCAGCAGGAAGTTTTTCACAAGATGTCGTTGTCTGAGCTACAGGCTGAGCCGTTGACTACCTTAGCCCATCTAAACTCGTGCAGTCGACTGCTGCGTACTCCGATGACTAGGTCGCTTACTCACGTTACATACACGGCTCACGTTTGCTATATGAACGCACCGGTTGGCGTTGACATACCCAATTTCAGCTACGTATTCACAACGCGGGAGTCCTTGCACGGCCATAGTGATGCTGGCTCGCAGGGTAACCCGACGAAGCACCGTATTATCCTTAATAAAACATCCGCCAGCATGTCAACCCCATGTGAAACACCCTACCCGTCAGAGCAAGCCCAACCCTCGCGTCCAAGCCTCCCGTCTACAGTCTACGTGCCAGATCAGGCGCATCCGTTGCCAGTACTTCCAGAAACGTCTGCCAGTGACTTTCGTCGCCCTGGAGGCCGCAAAGAAAACCGCTTAGCCAGCAAAGAGAGGAAGTAAATTAGCCAGTCCTCGAACCCCAACGACAGCAAACCGTCACAGTTAGTTGCAGTACTGCTCCAGCCCGTGTACTTTCATGTCCACTACACACACACACACACATCTTAAGGGCCCCCCAGCGTACGTGTCCCTGATCTACGTCGTCAAACTTGCTTCCACCCAAATGACCTAAAAACGACAGCACGCAGAAACAGAAGCACCAAGTCGCACCGGCAACACGGTAAACACCAAACGTCGTGTAACTAAATCGTGCCCTGCTACAGGCACACCTCAGATCGCAAGAGCTACTCTACTTATTGCTAAATAGGATAAAAAGCGCTAGTGCCTTTATGATGCTGAGACTCCCATCCCCTACTTTGGCGCGAAAGCGCACCGGAAGGGCGAGGGAAGGACGAACCACGAACGAGTGAAGCTGCTGCCAAGGAAAGAATGTACAAGAAGCAGAAGAACAGAAGGGACAACGCACCCCCCGGAAACCCGCTCATGTATTGTAACCGTGCGGGCCGGTTGGAAAGGGACCAGGGACGGCCGCGCTTTGAAATACACGCGGAGTTCCGTCCTCTTCTCCGAGACACCTTCCCCCCTTCTTCCCCAGGTAGCGGCAAGGATTTCCGCGGCAAGGATATCCGACGCTGCAGCCCAACAGCGGGCTCCCCCACATCCAGTGCCCACAAGGACGGACAGATCGATCCTTCCGAGCCGCCTGGGGCCGCTTCCCTGATATCCCCAAAACTCGCTCAGACGCGGCCGGGAATTACAACCGGAAGCCATCAGGCTGCATTCATAGGCCTGCAACCAGCCCCTCACCCCCGCTGCTCCACCAAGCCGCACACAAGCCCCACGCGGTGCAGTGGCATGCCTTTAGAGGCCGACGTCTAAACACACACACACACATGGGTGGTACCTAGGACACCAGAAAAGTTACGAGAAACGACGAAATTGTTCATTTGCATTCCCACTTCCTGGGCCCTTCTCTCCGCCGTAATGGTCGGTCCATCAGGGGTGGGGGCGGGCGGGACATGTTCCAGCGAGACAAACACACAATACCTTTCATCATATAAGGAATTCTTATAGCCATATTCTTTAGCCGCCAGAAAGGCCACACAAACAAAAACATAATACATCTAGAGCCGCCGTGTCGCGCTCGGCAGCCTCTCCTAGCCTACCCCACTGCCACCGTCCCTCCTCCTCCACATCGCCCTTATCGCCCTACTTCCTAGCCCTAAACTCTAAACCTTCTTGAGCTGTACGGCATCATCGCGAGGTACGACATACCTTCTGGGATAAATGCGCGCACTGCAGCGCTGAATGAAACTCGCCTCTGTAACCCGACAGCACCGCCCCCTGGGATGCGGTTGCAGACGGTTTGGGCTGTGCGCAAGAAAACCAGATCAAGCATATATCTCATCACCTTAATTGCTCCTAGTGTGTGCACCGATCGACGACCCTCCGGAGGTACTCGCGCCACAATCAGTGTAGCCCAAATGACATGTTGTCCAAGGCTATGGCCAACGCGCGCCGCATGTCCTCAAGGCTTGCGTAAACGGGCAAATTGAGCTGCAGGAAACATGTCCTAGCCTGAGGGAGCAGCGGCAGCGCCACACTGGCCGACGGCGCCGGCGCATCATCCCCGGCGGCGGCGGCGACCTCCTGCCCACCTCCGCCACCGCCAGTAGTGCCATCCCCACTACCGTCCGCCTCCGCGACATTCGACGTGGGCGGCAGCGCCGCTGCAACGTTCCCAATGCCGGCATCGACTCCCTGATCCTCCGCCCCTGCAGTTCCCACCTGCCCCTGCCCCTCCTCCGCAGCCCATGGCTGCGGGGCCGCACTCCCGCCAAGTTCATGCTGCAGCTCCTGTCCGCCACCCGGCGCATGGGCCTCCCGCTGCTCCTGCTCCCGCTGCTCCTGCTGGTAAGCTGCATGCACCTGGTTGTGTGGCAGGTCCTGCTGGCCGCCGGGACCCACAGAAAAGTCCAAACCAGGCCCCAAATCTGCATCTCCTCCGCTGCCAGCAGGATCACCAGCTGCTGCTGCTGCTGTTGCTGCTCCATGCTCAACGGAAGTGCCGTTCGCAGCAGCAGCAACAACAGCGGCGGCGGCGGCGGCGTCTTGCGTTGATGTCGATGCCGCGAGCCCAACGGCGCCATCTGTGTCCATTGGCATAGACTCCCTTTGCGGTAGTGCCCCGTCAGGGGGCCCCGGTGCGGCAGCAGCAGCAGCAGCTGGCCCCGCGGCCGTCGCATCCGACGAGGCCGCTGCAAAAGCGCCCTCATCGACCCGACCTGATTCGTGTGCAAGCCCCGGCCCGCCGGGTTCATTCACCGCTTCTGCATAGGCAGCAGCAGTAGCCCCAGCAGTAGCCGGGGAAGGTGATGACTCCAAGCTCCAATTGCTACCCTCCCCTAGTCCGCCCTCCGCTGCAGCGGTGCATCCCGTCGCAGCCTGCATGCCAACACCTCCTTCACTGCCAATACCGGCGGGACTACCGGAGCCCGAGCCGGAACTGGGTGCTGAGTTGCCGCCGTCGCTGCCGCCGCCATGGGACATCCAGGCATCTGCACCCGCCTCCTCCGGAGCACCAACCCCATTCAATCCCGGCTCTGCCGCGGATTTAATCCTGGACCCGCCGCCGGCAACATCGTTATCGGCCTCACGAGCAGCAGCGGCAGCCTCCGCGTGATTGCCAGCCTCTCCGCCTGACCCAGCAGTGTCAGCCCGCAGCGGAGAACTGCCCATAGCCTCTGTTGCTGCTGCTGCTGCTGCTGCTGCTGCGGCGGCGGCGGCGGCTGGCTCCCACGCAGCCTCACCTGTCTGTGCCAGACCGTCCTGGCTGACAACACCTGCCGCGGCCTCGCTCGCACCGGCCCCGCCAGAAGACGGCTCACCAGTACCCTCCCTTTCCCCGCCGGGGCTCCCTTCGCCGGTATTGCCGCCACCAGAGCCTCCGTCCGACCCGCTCTCCGGCGCAGGAGCAGCAGACATATCTTGTAATGACAGCGCTAGCGCCATCTCCAGCTGCCGCTGAAACTCTTCATCATCATCATCATCCTCTTCTCCATAGTCCATCGCGTCTTCAACCCCGCCCAGGTCATCTCCCTCTTCGCCGAACGAGATATCCGGTTCTTCGCCAGCTTCGCCGCCGTCATCATCGCCATGCTCGGGCTCGCTTGCGGACGGTGCATGCGTGGAACCAGCGCCCCCGGCCACTGCCACTGCTTGTGCTGCGGCTGCTGCGGTGCCCATGGCCCCTTCAGCGTCCGACTGATTTGCCTCTGCGGCCGGCACGGCATCCCCAGCAACAGGGCTTAGGACGCCCAAGCTGCCAACAGGTGGGGCAGCCGCTCGCACCGCCAACCCAGTGGTCCCCTCCTGCCGCTGTCGATGCTGGACCCCGCGGGGCTCAGCATCCTCCCCGCCCTCCTCCATACCGTCGCTGTGCTCCTGCTCCTCCACCTCCAGGCTATCCCCATCGAGCCGGTGCGAATGCGGCCCCTCGCCATCGGTGGACGGCCCGCGCCAATTCGTCGTCTGCGCAACATCCGCGCTTATCCCCGCCGGTGCTGCTGCAGGCGGCCTGTCGGCGCCGCCACCCGGTTCGCCGGCAGCCTGTCGCGCGCCTGATGGGCCAAGTTTCATAATTTGTAGCCGCTGATTGAGGGCCTTGAAGCCGCCTGAAGGCAGGTGCGTCATGGCGGTCCAAAACTGCCCAGCAGGAGGACGGACGGACGGAAGGGCGCCACGCGAGGGCAGCGGGCGCGGTGAGCGGTGGTTATGTTGCGTGATAGCGATCACAGGAATAGATGTGAACAGTGGGAGATGTGAACAGTGCGGTTTAGTTGGCTGGATAATGTATACAAACGGCCCCAGCGGCTCCGTTAACGCGATGGAAATGACAATGCATGCAGCAGACACGACCTCAGCAGGCGTCGTGTCCAAAACCCGTTTTTGCTCCCCAAGCTTGCAGGAAGAACTGTGGCAGCCATGCATGCAACCCTCGAGTACAACGCCCCGCATGTCGTACCTGCAGCAGGCGCTGCCTGTCTTCCGGCCCGTACTCCGAAACCAGCTTCCAGAACATGTCCAAACTTTTTTGCTCCTGGAGTAGGTAAATTCAACAGCGCCACAAAGGAAGAGGCTAAACACCGAAAGCCTTGTCGGTATACTGTTCTCAGGCGATTACTACATCAGTGGTCAGTCCTTTATGAAAGATTCGTAATCACAACAGTTTCCCGTTAGTCCTCTGCATTCCCCCATTCCATAATGGAATCCATGTTACTGGACTGCAAGCAACCAATTGCCCGACCTCTTCATCACTTGAGAAAGGTAACCCATTCCTTCCTCCGCTCTTCGTATCCCCCCCCCCACGGCTTCCTCCGCTCCTTCCCATATTCCCGCGTCCCTTCCGGGCCCTCACCTCCGGGCCCTCAAAGCCCGCTTCGTCCGTGTGCTGGGCCCAGTCCTCCGGATCCAACGTGCTCTCGCCCGCTGTTATGCGGTTCAAATCCTCCAGCAGCAGCGGCGACAAAAAGGCGCGACGCAGTCGCGCATCGTCGGGCAGGTGGTGCGCTGTGTCCTGCATGCCGGCCAGGAAGGCGGCGCACTGCCAAGGGGGAGGAGGGCAGGTTCGTCGAGCAGTGCACCGGCATAACGTTGCACATGCGCGGGGGTTGCCGTACTGGGGTTTTGCCAGGGGTACGGGGCCGGGGAAGGGCAACTAAGCAACCAAACTCAGGCGGGGACTGGGAGGTGAGGTCACAACGGAGCTCACACGTAGTGGTACGGAAACACGCGCGCCAAAAAGGAAAAACGACACAGGGCACTACCAAGCAGAGTCCACGACCTGTGGGAGGTAACCTTCGCGGCACCGGAGGCAACAACGAAACATACACGCATGCGTGCATGAGTAAATGAATGAGTAAATGAATGAGTAAATGGATGAGTAAATGAATGAGTAAATGAATGAGTAAATGAATGAGTAAATGAATGAGTGAATGAATGAATGCAGAAATCACCAGCCGCCAGACCCGTCGCAACAACACTCTTGAGCGCCCACCCCACCACCCCTACCTCCAGAAAACTTCCCGACCAGTCTGAAATGCACCTCCGAAAAATCCCCCACCTACAGCCCCCCCCACAGGCTCCCTAAAAGCACATGATTCCCCTTTTCCCCCCTTTAATCCGCCATTCCATACACAACCCTATCTCTGTCTCCCCCACCTGTTCCTCCACCTGGTTGACCACCAGGTGGTGGGCCAGCAGCTGCACGTACTCGGACTTGTTGGCGTCAGTAACCAGAAGTCCCGCTCCCCCGGGCACCAGCTCCTGCTCCTGAGAGTCTCCACCACTCTCATCGCCAGTAGACACATGCCACACGTGAAAGAGCTCCAACGCAGCAGCCCCCGGGCTGGACAAGATGTTCTGGCACGTGGTGAAGACCTGCACGTTTGCGCTCACGCGCATCACCCAAGCATCCATGCTCTCAAGGTGTTTTAACCAAGCATCCATGCTCTCAAGGTGTTTTAACCAAGCATCCATGCTCTCAAGGTGTTTTAACCAAGCATCCATGCTCTCAAGGTGTTTTAACCAAGCATCCATGCTCTCAAGGTGTTTTAACCAAGCATCCATGCTCTCAAGGTGTTTTAACCAAGCATCCATGCTCTCAAGGTGTTTTAACCAAGCATCCATGCTCTCAAGGTGTTTTAACCAAGCATCCATGCTCTCAAGGTGTTTTAACCAAGCATCCATGCTCTCAAGGTGTTTTAACCAAGCATCCATGCTTACGCATAAAAGCAACAGTCGACAAGTATGCGTAGGAAAACGGCTACTTGTACCAAATACGATGTGCTTGTTTTATTTTGTTGCCTCCTGCTGTGTGGAAAGCAAAAGGGAGAAAGCACAATGGGAAGCCGCCCCGGCATGCGCTTAGACTGCAGCAGGCGGCTTGCTTTCCTAGCTGGATATACCCACATGTCAAGGGCAGACCTCGCCTTCCATGCCTTCAGCACGTTTGCGCTGGGCCCTATGTTGGTGCCTAACCACGATGCATGCAACCATGTTGGCCGTGTTGGCGGCCGTGCACTCCCACCTGCGGGTCAATCTGCTGCAGGTCCTGAAGCGTGGCTCGGCGGCCCGTCAGGTAGTTGAACAGGCCGGTAGACAGCACCACACCCAAGGGGACGTTGGCGCGCAGGGCCAGACCTGCAAGAGGAACCGGCGGAGGAAGGTGGACTGGTCATGTGCCTGCTCAAGGAAAGTAGGCACAGCTGCCGATTCCCACAGTACCAACGGGCGGAGTCCATAGCTAGTTGTTGGCGAAGGAGGTCTACTAGTGAAAACCGACGGGGTAATGGAATCGACACAAAGCTCAGACAGCCCTTCTCTTTATTGTTATTAAGTCCCAGGCACGAAGGGAAATCGCAAGGCAGTTGGGCAAAACACCTCTGCACGAAAACGTCCAAACAACTAAAAACCCATCTGGACATCTGCCAAGCACATCACGAACAACTTGTTGTGGGGAAAGACATAGAAACACAACGCCATTACCCCGGGGGGGGGGGGAGTCTCACCCACCGACGACAGGCACCGTCACACTTACGCCCGACAAGACAAACACAAACAGAAACGCCAACAAAACCGGCGATCCTCTGAAACCCATCCATCCATCCATCCATCCATCAATTCAACGTCGTAAGCCTAAAACTCCGGCGCACTCACCCACGATGCGGCCCGCAAAGCGCATGTAGCCCAAGTGGTCTTCCTGCATCCGGCTGTGCGGAGACGGGTGCACCACGCGGCGGTCCGCAGCGCCCCGTACAAAGAGCCCCCGTTCCGGAGAAAATATGTCCGCCGCGATCTGCGACAGCCACTCACGCACCACACCCATACCCTCCGCCTCCTGCTCATCCTCAAACCTGAACGTGTGCCAAAGGAAAAGAGTGAAAAATGGCGCACAACCGCACGAGCATTACGGGAAAGCCACCGGAGGAACAAAGACAGAGCAGGTGGATAAGGGAAGACAAAGGCAAAAACATGTCCAAGGATGTGGGGATTGTAAACAAATTCGTATACAAACACAGCAATGGCTGGATTCGAGCGCGGATTGACTTGTTGGCAGCCAACAGCATATAACAGCGATGTGCACGCTGTGCGACCCTGGTGTGCTGCATCTTAATTAAAAACCTTCTCATGAACCCATCGTGCCATCCCACGGGGTCCCAAGAAAACCCCGGAGGGCAAGACTGGCACCATTGCCTGAGGTCGAGTTCGCCCGATCCGCTCCCCTACCCCTGAACATGTTCTCAAGGCCGGCCTCGTCAGGGCCCAGTTGCCCATTTCCATGCCAAACGCGTGTTCACTCTTACCTGACGTTGACGCCGTACGGAAGAGCCTCCGCGTCCATCACCTGTTTGACCGGGGTAGGGAAGGCAACGCACGGTTTCCAGCACCGTAATTAAAACACGTCCATCAACAACTCGGTTTGAACGCTGCTTTCATAGCAGTCATTCGGAAAAGGTAGAACGGGATGGACGCGGGCACAAAGAACTAGCCCGACGTGGTCATGCATGCATGTTAAAAATAACGCTAATTTAAAAAACTTATGCATGCAAGAGCGCTTCCCTGTACGCAGGACGTGCCATCAAAGGTCAAAGGCAGTAGGGTAGGAGCACCAGCACCATGACAGCCAATAAATCATCCCCCGTGTGAACGTCACGGAGCACGCCCAGTTGGGGTCCCCCCGGTCACCCGGGCGCTAGGGGGCCCTAGTGGTGGAGCGCAGAGGCAGAGCAGAAGCTACACTGATACAGACATCCTGACAGACATACAGCTGTAGGACTTCCGGAAAACATCCGGTGCAGGAAACGCCATGGGCGTACACCACTGGCTGGGGCGTTGGGCCTGCCTACTTTTCGTTCGACCTCACAAAGCATCACATCGCGTCACGCCACGCCACTTCCATCCCACCTGATAATAGGAGCTCTCAGTGATGCTGCTCCGGTACGCAAGCACCTGCGGCGCCCGGCGCTCGTTCAGCAGAGCACCTGGGGCCACACGGGGGGCCCGGAACACATAAGACACAACACACACACATACACACGCAAGCACAAGCACGATTAAGACTGATTCCAGCTTTTCGGCATGGCCTCGACGCACGCGCATGCACACATGCATGGACCTAACGCGTATCATTGCATAATTCAGCCGCGCTTCCACATTCTACATTTTCACGTCAGCGTTTATCCTTCAACGCACTTGCAAGCCAACACAAGGTGTGAGCCAGGTGTGAGCGATCGGTGTAACGGCTTTGCGCAATTGCGGTAGCACTTAGAGTGTTACTTTAGATGGCCCGTAAATACAAGCTATGCTGCAAGCAGCGATACGCGCTTGCTGGAGACTCTGACCATCCATGTCAAGTTGCCAATTGCGCGGGCACCAGGACGCGGACCTCGAGCCGTCAACAAGCCCAATCGCGCGTGGCGAGACAAAGGCTGCCTTTTCCCCCATGCAAAGCCCATGCACACACGCAAAAGATTATGCGCGCGCACACACAAGGAGCACCTTGTCACCACACGCTAAGCGCAATGCGGCGCATATTCCAGCAACGCCCCTTCTGCACCCCACACAATACTTCCGCATTTAAAGTGACCCATTCCATGTTTTCCAAATTCCATAAACCAGCCCCAATTCTTGACCACAAACACTCGCCTTCAGGTATGACGATATGCACTACTTCACTAACACCATGGAATGTGCTGGAACCGCTGCCGCCCTCTGCTCACCCGTTTCCAGAGGGGTCAGCACCGCCGCCATGTAGCCCTGGCGCAAGCTCTGCGGGATCACCGCGTCAATCGCCAGGTCCCGAGTTAACGCGCCGGCAGCAATAACCGTCGTCACATACACCTTTCCTGCCCCCAGCAGCTCCTTGATGGCCTGGCTCGTGAGCAGCGTCGTGATGCTGGGTCGGATGCTATCCGCGCATCCCAGGGCCGTCGCCACACACGCAAGCCCGTCCAGGTGGGCCATGAGCTCGTTGATCAAAAGCGCCGTCGGCATGTACGCCACTGCATTCGAAAACTTTCCCACCGCCTCGCCGCGTAGCAACACCGCCATCCGGGCGACGCAATGAGCGCGCGTTACGGCCTCGCACAGGGCCGCCGCCACGGCCTGCAGAAGCCGGACTAGAAAGACCCGTGGATCGTCGTCCGCCGTCGCCGCTGGGTCGTTGCCGTTTGCGGCAGCGGAAGGTGACCCCGCGGCGGCTTCTTCCGTAGCGCCGTCAGCGGTGCCGCCGGCCGTATTGCAGCTTGCGCCATTGCGACGCGCCGGGGGCGTCTCAAGCGCGCTGGCGGCAGCAGCGCTATCTGCATCTGAACCGCCGGATCGCGAGCCAGCAGCCGCCGTGGCGATATCATCAACCCCGTCTTCTGCCGTCGCGGCGGCCCCCGCGTCCATCATCTCCACATCACCAATAGCGCCTGCGGACGTTGTCGCTGGAGCAGCCCCTGCCGGCACTGCATTGCTGGGTGCCGAGTCGCCCACGGAAGCCTCGGTTGACTTGCGCGTCCCGCCGTTGACAAGATTCATATCCGGGCTATCTTCTCCAGGTGAAGCGGTAGCGGCAGCAGGCGCAACAAGGGCAGCAGGATTCACCTTCTTGGTGGGAGCTGCAGTGGCTGCAGCGCCGCCGACAGCTGCGGGACAAAGACTGGGTCGAAGCGCTTCACTGTACGCTGTCAAGAGCGCGCCGGTGGCAAGCCAAGCCTTCGGCAGCGCGGGTGGTGCGGGGGATGTAACGGTGGGTTCACCCCGCAGAATCTGCAGAACGTGCTCCAGACCAGCTTGGGTCACCTGCGCAATATTACCATAACGGCGCCGATCACGGTAAGGGGAACGTAACAATCTTCATGCCACGAAAAGGAAATCATTAAGTGGTAAGCTGTGACATGCAAACCAAGCAGTAGAGCACGAAAGGCGCATGCGACATACAGCACCGTCTGTAATGCCCATTACACCTAATCGAAGGCAGTAGACTTTTGCGCGTACGACCTACCGCGCCGCGCTACACGACACCTGCCAAGCCTGTCAAGAAATCAGATCCTCTCACCTACCCTCATCTCCGTACAGATCTGGGTCAGCAAGATCCGCGCCAGCGCAGCCTTGCACGGGTCCGGGACCACGCGCATCACATCCCTGGCGTGCGCGACGACATGCTTATTACCGAGTAGCTTGAGCAGCGTCCCCTCCGTCACCAGAGCAGGCCTGCCAGTGCCGCTGCCGCCTGGCGGCGGCTTCACCGCCGCGGGTCCTCCTGGCGTGCTGGTGTCTGAAGGGCTCTCCCCAGCCGCTCCTACCGTCGCGGTGGCGGGTGTGGGCGACTCAGCAACCGAATGGCTTTCCGGGCCTGCGGCCTGCGGCGTGGCTGAACCTGCCTCGCCCGGTGCCATCTCCGCGGCCGCGGCAGGTGCCGGGGGCGGCTCCACATTATTGCCCGTGGCAGCGTCCATGGGCGCTGGGCTGGTGCGAGTATTGGTTGCAGGAGGACTTTGAGCACAGGCAGCAGTGGAGACCAGCGCTTGCAGCATGACAGTGCAGACGTAGCCCACAGATGCCCAGGTCGTGTAAAAAGCACTTCCACCGGTGCCCAAGATGCCGTGGCTAGGCAGGCGCTTCTCAGCCAGCGCGAGCTCGTGGCGCAGCTTGCGCATAGACTCCTCCAGGTCGGCCAGATCCTGGACGCTGCTGGCTGTTGCGCGATTGGAAGCGTTCGCTTTCAGCACCGGGAGCGCCTGCGTCGGCAGCGGAGAAGATGAACATGCGGTAGGCCACGGAGCCGAGACAGTCGCGTAGGTACGTGGGTGGGCAGACTGTCAATCAGTAACCGGAGTATTTCAAGCCTAGCTGGGTAGCACGAGCGAGGTCGGGCCAACTTCGTTTAAAGCGGGCGGAGAGCACCACAGGAAGGTGGTCTGCAATACCGGAAAATGTCCTGATGGGAACTGACCGAACGTGAACTGACCCTGTACATAGCTCGCACGAGTCCGCTCTCAGATAGCTCCTCCAAGAATGACGGATCTGCCCAGCCCGCGGAAGACATTACGCGGAGCAGTTTGCCGGGCCAATCCTGGGGCGGGGCACCGGTGCTTTCGGACCCCGCCTGGGAGGCCAGCTCAAATAGCGCTGCATGCTTGCGTCCGATACGAGCCATCTTGTTGATTCTCTCAGCGTCCTTGTCACGGTCGGCAGCTTCGGCCTCGCGAATCGACATATCTGGAATGCACAATTCCGCAACCATTGCCCCAAGCTATGAACATCGTGCCAAAAGTAGCCGTTGCTACTAGCAGCTATACTGTCTTACCGCGTATCCATATCCAGGAAAGGGCACCGGGGATCAGGCTCGATTCCAGCCCAGTAAAGGCAGGGGCGATAACCGCTGATTTTTACTATTCCATCTGTAGTGCTCCTGGCCGTGACTAGCTGTCTTGATGCAACAGACGGCAGCAACCCTTTCCGATGTTGGCCCTCGCACTCTAATGAATGCTTAAACCGAAGATACCTATGTTGCACAATTTCTTAATACCTCCAAAGTTGTAGGCGAAATTATATTGACTTCCTGAGAACTTTTTCTCTGCTTGCCACGCCCTGTACGGCGTTGTGGTTGGTCAGCAGAAGCTGCTGTTCTTGATTGTTACTTAATCTCCAATGTATATGTTGTGAATCGTAGATTTATAACAGTATAATACTCCAATAAAAACCCCAATATCAGTTATGTGCACGTGGTTACCTGGTCTAACGATCATGCCCCAATTCCAATTTCGGTGCCCCAGTCTTCATCGCAAATGGCCCAGAAATGGTGACCAGCTCATAGCAAAAACATGTGCGTAGGATCCCCATGTTGCACGAGTCTCTGGGCTATTGATTGCAACGTACATCCCAACCGAAAAGCGCACCTCCCACTAGAACCAGTTGCCTTGGTACACGGTCAGATACGGAGCGCAAAGTCAGGAAGGAGAATTGGATGATTATCTTCCAGACGTGTTCATACATATGGAGGGCGATATTGGAGGACTCTGCTGTATGTCTGCTCCTCCATCCTGACACCCAATTGTAAAACCCAACTCCCCGGAATTCATGAAAAGAGTCAGGCATTGAAGGACTCAACAGGCAGACCGCTGGCGCTGCGGTTATAAGAACCCTGATACTCTGTGTTCGCCGTGAGTTGCCGCGACGGTGCACGCCTCGCTGGGCACGTTGGTACGGCAAGTCATGCATATTACGATCACCTAGCAATAATACTGCCCATTTGGCTAGATGGCAGGCATGTCACAATCGGCAGGTTCCTAAACATTTTATGATGGACGAGTCCGCGCGCATTGGGCCCCCAGGTATTATCCATCGACAAGAGAGGTGTTCTGTGTGAAATGGGGCTACGGGGAGTCCATTCTGAGGTCGTCACACCAGCTTTGTGGTCTGCATTCCGCTTGGGTTTCTGAGTTTACGAAGTGCACTTATGCTAAAGATGTTCACACCATACACATTCCTTACATCTAGGCCACTCGTTGTTATTTCTGAGATAGTTTCCTTTAATGCAGCTCCGCGCTAACGAACGACGATTTGTAAAAATGCCTCAAAAGGAAGCTTTCTGAAGAAGGAACTTTTAATACCCAGTCTTTAATAATAAGCTTTTCAGGGCAGCGGGTTCGGTCTTTGGTATGCGGAAAATGTTCGTACGAGATTGAGAAGGCCAGTTATCAACAAACACTTAACAAAAGTGAGTAATATAAAACAAACAGAAACCATGTTATTACCTGGCCAAATGATTCAACTCCTTAAAAGATTTCTATTACACTCTTAATGCTGCCCTTACGGAACAAACTGCATGATAGAGAATGTGTATGCAATGATGGGGTGGGGATAGGGTTGCAGTTTGCTTCGAGACGGGGATGCAGCCCCGGATAGCATTTTTCCTTACATTTATCGCTTTTACGGTGGCATCATCTTCTTCTGGGGGAGTTCAAGAACTCGTGGAAGCACTTGCAAATGCATCTATCGTGGGCGAGCTGGCAAAGGATTGCATCTGGGCCGGTGGTCGTTCCAGGTGCGTTCCGTGCAATCAATCAACGAACAGATATCGGCTCTTTCCATGTGACGTGTTTCATCGTGTGATCTTAAAAGACCGAACACGAAACGTTTGCTTGTGCATGTGTGAGAACGCAGTTGCGACAACTTCACGAAAGTTGCAGAAGTATGTGCAGCGGACGCGGTCAACACTACGTACACAGTAGGTCGGGTTGACTGGCGTGTAGTTGATAGCGTTCGCGCAATGGTGGTTACTTCTTGTGCAAGCGAGTTTCCCGAGAGTTATCGCACAGCAAAGACCCCGTTTGAGCAGCACGGCTTTCACTTACACCTCCCCTGTTACAAACAAACCTATCTGGAACTTAATCGCACCCAGGGGAATCACCCATTGAGCCGTCGCACCACTCGAAGCCGCCGCGCACATCCCTGAGCCCCCCTCCAGCTCCCCCTTTCCAGCCAGCCAAGCCCAGCCCCCAACCCGATTCCCACCACATTCGCCCCGTGGCGTTCCATTCCTCCCCTAGCAAACCTCCCACCCACCCTGCCCATCCGACCACCCAACCACTCACTTGTCCCCCACGACCCAAACTTACAGGTACACTTCCTTCTGGGTCCAATGACTGGCGTCGATACGCTTCTCGCAGATGCACTGCCCTCGCCCTACGAGTCCACGACGGGCACAAACATCACCTCCGGCATAAACATGGGCCCGGACTCGGGCATGAGCGCGCGCTGGATCGTACAGAACCGATCACAATGGGACACCTCCCTGCTCGACCTCGCCCGCGGGCGCGTCAGCCACTTCGACGGCCTGGTGCTGGACCCCGCCATCGTGCCGGAGATGGTAGCTTCGGGCGCGCTCCTCAGCCTGGAGCCTTTCCTAGCCACGGACCGTTGGCAGGGGCAATGGCCCGGCATCCTCTCAGTGCTGCGCTGGCAGGTGGCCATTACACGCAATACCATCATCCCTCTGGGGGCAGCCGCCGTAGTGCTGCACTACCGCGCGGATGTGTTGGCCAGACACGACCTGCCCGTGCCGCGAACCTGGGAGCAGCTGCTGATGGCGGTGCGGGCGGTGCATGGCCGTCCGGAGGGCCCCGCGGCGGCGGCGGACCCCGGGTTTTACGGCTTCTGCAAGGTGTCAGTCGAGGGTGAGCGATTGGGTGGCGGCTGGCGCTCTTGAATAGGGGAGTCGAGTGCACCGTTGATCCGGTGTGCACGGCTGGTCCTTTTTTAAGTGCGTTGCATGGATGCGTTATTTGGGATGGGTGGGCAGTCGGTCTACTCTTAACAGGCACATCTAGACGAGTCACTAGCAATAGCCGCTGCCGGAGCAGTCTCACACGTCCCAGCGCTGTGTCCTCCGACTCCACGTCACAAGGGCCCAGCAGCCGCAGCGGCCGGGGGGGGGGGAAGGTCTTTCAGGGCTGGTCTGGAGCCTCAATGGACGGTAATGGGCGCGGTGGTCCATGGGCGTGTGTGACTGTGCGGGACATGTGCAAGCGGGGCCCGTATTGGAGGCCGGGTGGAAGGGCTGGACTGCGGAGGGGGTCGGGATGATGAGGTCGGGGAGAGAGGAGGGTGCTGTGTAAGGGTGGTGGCTTTACGGGTTCACCCAGGGGGAATTGACAGGAGGCTGCCCGATGCGTTGCTGTGGGTTAGCACGAAGGGACCTGCCAGGCTGCCCGGTGCTGAGGGGTGCTGACCGACTTAAGGAGGGAGCTGGAGCTGGGGGCCCTGGATGATCGGGGGGAGGGCAAGGGGGGGCCGGGGCGGGGCAGGGCTCTGGGGGGCCCGTCAGGGCAGGGGGATGGCCGAAGCACCGCCCTGCTGTCGGTGCCAGCGTCTGCATGGTCAGTTTCCCGGGGGCGGCTGTTCGGGAGGTCATAGGGCCCCTGTAGGGTCGTGGGTGCAGTTGGGAGGCTCCTGCGCACTCCGTCACGCGCGGGCCCCCGGTCAAACAAGCCCGCCACCCATCCACCATCATGCGCGCACCTGCATCTCCACATGCATGCATACATACATACATACATACATACATACATACATACATACATACATACATACATACATACATACATACATACATACATACATACATACATACATATATAGGGTTTGGCACTACTGGTAAGGCGCGACCATTGCCCCCGGGAGATCCCGGGATCGATACCCACTAGGGTCAAAGTCCTTCCGATGGTGGAAGGCATAGCGCCCCTAGTTGATGGACAGTGGTGACCTGGGATAAAGTTAACCTGCGAGCCGACCAGGAACGGAGTTGGGCCGCTGTCGACCCGGCAGATTCCGTTGGATGCTGGTGGTGGGTGCGGAACCTGAGCGATCCACTGAGAAGTTGACTAGGGTGACTGGATGAGGGTGCCCTGAAATACCGGGGAAGGCAGGGTTTCGCAGGGTAGCTGCCACGGGCGAAGATACACCCCCCTGTTTCACACATCATACATATACCACGCCTCTCGGTCCCCGTTGCCCTGTCCGCCCACCTCCCACTCGCGCAGGCTGTCACGCGGACTCGTACGAGCTGATGGCGATATGGGCGAGCTTTGTACAGACCCTGGGGCTGTCGCAGGGGGTGAGTGTGTATGTCTGTACGTACGTATGTATGTATGTATGTATGTATGTATGTATGTATGTATGTACGTATGTCGCCCTCTGCTTGAGTAGGGGACTGCCCCAAGATCGAGTCATGTGCACGAAGGGCGGGTGGGGGGAGGGGGAGAGAAGGGCACAGACACGGAAGCCGAGGATTGCGGAGTGCTGGCAAGGATGGATCAGAATCCTTCGCAGCGGGGTCATTGCCCAGTGGCATTGGGTTCTGAAGGGGGCAGGCTTCGCCTCGGGTTGTATGTGCCCGAAAGGTTCCGAAAAGCCCTGTTCCACCCCCGGGGGGAAGCGGGCCGCTGACGGATGTGTGCGATCTGAGCTGGGGAGGACTGCGGGAACTGCATCACGTCATCACATGACGCTGGCGTCTGTGGCCCCCTGCCCGCGTCCCTCTTCTCCTGAACTACCCGTCTACCTACCTCGGGTATCTGCTCCATTCGCCAGTGGTTCGTCTTATATGTGTGGCTCCCATGCCCTGCCCTGTCCTGCCCTCACCTGCCCTGCCCTCACCTGCCCTGCTGGCCCTCGCACGTACCCCGCTATCGTGGCTCCGAAAGGCCTTCTTCAACCCGGAGACCTTCACGCCGCTGGTTCACAACGAGGCCATGCGCGCAGCACTGCTCTTTCACAGGGAGCTCGCCGCGTTTGCGCCGCCACAAGGCCTAGCCAACGCCACCAACTGCAACAGCATGTATGGTACAGCGGCGCCGCTGTATGAGGCGGGCATGTGCGCCTTCCAACTCGCACCGCAGCCCGCTCACAAGCGCAATGTACTGCTGTCTCCGTCCGCGGCTGTACGGAAATTCTCTCGGGTCACATGGCTGCCGGGCGCCACTTCGGTTCTGGACCGACCCACGGGTCGCCTGGTGCCCTGCAAATACTCCATCTGTCCGTTTGCGGAGGTGGTGCCTCGGTGGCCAGGCGAGGCGGCGCTGGGGGAGGCACTGCTGTCCGGTAGCGCCTCCGTCTTCGCCGCCGCAGCTGCCGCGCTCGCCGCGGCTCCGCCACCGCCTCCGCCTCCGCTTCCATCCTCCGGCTTTGGCTTTACTCTTGCCAATATGGCGCCTGTTCTGGGACTCAGTCCATTGGCGCTGGGAATCAACAACTTCACGACTCTGAGGCAGAAGGCGTACTCGGTGCGATGGCTGCGACGTGTTACGGACTCCGACACGGTTTGGAAACTGGTGGTATCTCCCCTAACCCCCCTGGCGCCGTTCCGCTACGAGCACTTCTCTCCGTCCAACCTGCAGTACTGGACGGATGCAGGGTACGACGCAGCGGAGGCGCAGGACTACTTGGCGCTGACGTACGACATGCTGACGCACAGGAACCTCCTGTCGTACCCGATGGCTCTTCAGCGTATGCTGCAGTACAGAGCTGCCCTCCACACAGCCGCCTATAACCTCTCCAATCCCGTACTGTCCGTGGAGGATATAATGGAGTCCATGGCGAAATCTTTAGAGGTCACGTTTGGGTCGGCGGCGTACGGCTTCGGCACGCTGAGGCTGCAGTACTTGCGGTCCATCGGGCGCGACGACCTGCTGTCAGCGCCAGCGCCGCCGCCGCCACCGCCGCCGCCGGAGATGCGGTATGTGGTCGGTCGGGAGAAGGGGGTGGTGGCCGGCGCGTTGAAGCAGGGCGCCGTCGCGTCGTCGGTAGGCGCCGCTGTCGGTACGGCGGCGGCGGCGGTGCTGTTGGCGCTGGCGGCTTTTGTGTACAAGCGGCTGATGGTGGAGCGCGGTTGGGGATCCAGTAAGGATCCGGGCGTTGGGCGGCAGACGACCCTGGTGAGTCATCGCGACTCCGTACCTCACCGTACCGCACCGTACCGCACCGTGCCGCTGTGACAGCCAACCGGGGGCTGCTAACTGGGTAGTTGGGGTTTTAGGGTCAGGGACCAGGACGTACGGAACTCGGACATGCCGGCAGGGGCCCCTGCATGTTGCACATCTGGGTCATGACTGCCCCCATCTCTCCGACTTAATCCTCTCCCCGCCGAAGAACCTCTACCACGGGGTAGCCGCGCCTACGAGTTGCTGCTGCTTACCATCGCTTGACGTAATTCGCTGTGCTATGTGATTTGCTTCCCGCAGGTTGTAACGGTGAGCGGCTCGGGAGCGCGGGGCGGTTGGGGGCACACGGTGCTTGCTTCTGTGCTCGTGCGCAGAGAGAGCGAGGGAGCGAGCGAGCGAGAGAGAGAGTGTGTGTGGGGGGGTTGGGGTGCTGGAGGTCACCCTGGCTGGGGCGGTTCAGCGGCCAGGAGGCTGAGGGGAAGGCGGAAGACGGAAGGCGGAAAGACGATTTCGAGTCACCACTACCACTATTACCACATCACCACCGCCACCGCCGCCGCCGTCACAACCACCACCGCCGGCGACGGCAGCCAGTGCAGGGCAGTCACTAACTCCACTCCGACCCTCCTATCGGCCAGGACCTCGTTTACCCCCTTCTCTACTCCCCCTGCTCCTCCCGCCTCTCGCCTTTGTTTTCTCGCATTCATGTTCTGCGCCCTGGGGTACGGATATGCGTGTACGGATATGCGTGTACGGATATGCGTGTACGGATATGCGTGTACGGATATGCGTGTACGGATATGCGTGTAGCTCTTTACCCCCGCAGCAGCCCCCCTGTATGGATGGCACCACCCGACAGCCACGTGGATGTGGATCAGGTGGTAATCCGCGTCATGTCGCATCTGGACGAAATCACAGTTCCATGCCGCCATCCTCTCTATCCACCTACCTGTCTGTCTCCTCTCACGTACCCCTCGCCTCGCCTGTCGTGTGCCGTACGCTACAACCCGCCGGATCGCCGCTCGCCACGTCGCCACCCGGCGTCCCTCGCAACCGCCATAACGCCACGGGGGGGGGGGGCCCACCGGCGCTTCCACTATCACCGACACATTTGAAGGACATGGAATCTTCTACGGTGAGCTCTACGGCGGGTCGCGGGGGACCTCCCTTGCGAGGTGCCGGTTGTAGGGTTGCTGCGGTGTTGGACACTGACTCGGTGCTGGGGTTGGTGGGATCAGACATGGGGCAACAGGTGACAGATGGCAGCTGAGGATGCATACACAACACAACACAACACAACACAAAACAACACAACACAACACAACACAACACAACACAACACAGCAGACGAACGGTTTGGGCCGTTCTTAGTGTGTTTGCTCTCTAGTGGTTCGTTCTCGCCCTAGCCAGGTAGCCAGTCCTGGCCAATCTCGTCCTGGCCGCAGGTCCTTTGGGAGGATCTGGACGCGCTTGTGATGGACTTGGCGCTCAATGTGCACCATGAAACCATCCGCCGCGTCATCGCACACTGGTCGGGCTACGAATCCGTCACGGAAGGTACGGCGTACGGGTTTATGTGTACGGGTACGGGTACGGCAGCCGATCGGCAACTGCCGTTTCAACTGCTTTCTCCAAGCGCACGCCGTTCCACCCCAGCAAACACCGTCCCGCGTCTCTCACGCATTCCGGTGTTTTTGTAAAGTGCACGTCAAAAGGTTTTTCCCAGGATGTGCTGGGATTGAGGGGCTCCCTACATTCCCTCTCCTAACCTCTCAACAACGAAACACAAACGGTCGGGGGGAAAACCCTGCCGCCCTGTCTCCCGTGACGTTGGAAACCCGCAGGCGACTCCTTCACAGTTGCTTTCCACAACGCAGAGGCCGCGGGTTAGTCATGCGTGGGTCTGGCTGAGCGGTTAGGTGGGGATGGGGGGTGGGGTCGGGGATGGGGCTGGGTGGGTGTGCTAATGCGCTCTGTGTGTGTGTCTGTCTGTCTGTCTGTCTGTCTGTCTGTGTGTGTGTGTCTGTCTGTCTGTGTGTGTGTCTGTCTGTCTGTGTGTGTGTGTGCACATCCTGGGAGCCTCTTCCGGCATATTGTCCCTCGGTGTCGACCTTGGTGGGGACGGGGACTTTACGGAGTGAGCCCCGGACGGGGTTTAGCCCAGGGACTCTTGCTGTTGGTGCTGATGTTGCGGTTGGAGCTCGCGATTGCTGATCGTTGTTGCCTTCAAATTCGAGAGCTCCTGGCTGGGATCGATCCGACCTCTTCTGACCCTTGCGGAGTGATGAAGGGCGGGGGGGAGGACGCCTGTGATGATATGGGGCCGGGGATATGGGATTTAGGATCTGTATCCAGCGGTTCTAGATGCCCCTCCTGCCTATGGACCTGTCCGTCTGTCTGTCTGTCTGTCTGTCTGTCTGTGCAGTGGGTTTCTCGCTACACGTGCAGTCGGAGCTCATGGAGCAGCCCTGGCCGCCCGAGGTGCTCATGCACGATGCATGCAGGTGTGTCGTACTCGAAAGTGCTGGGGAGCGTGAAGGAGGAGGAAGAAGGGAGTCCTATACCACCCGTGAGTTCACCCCCCACCCTCCCCCTTCCGTACTCACCCTCTAGGCCCGTATACGTGGTAGGGACCAAGCGGCTGCGGCACTTGATGACCAAAGCCGCAGCGGCAGCCGCGCCCCGGCCAGTCACCCATGTCGTCATGAACACCCTGGACACGGAACCGACAGGTGCCTCAGCAGGGTCAGCTAGCATGGCCCCCGCGCACAGCTCCGGAACCGGTGCCGCCGGCGGCGGCGGCGGCGGTGCGCTGTCGCTGTCGCTGTCGTTGCGCACGTTCAGCAAGGCGATACGGAGGCTTGACGGCATGTCCGGTCATGTACGGCGCAGCATGTCGTTCGCCACTCGACCTGCTTCGGGGTCTCATTCGGCTCGCGGTGGCAGCCTGCTGCTGGCCGCGCTAGCTGGCCGAGTTGGCGGGACCAACACCGGCTTGGGTAGTCCGAGGGCTGGCGGCGGCGGCGGCGGTGGTGGCGGCGGCGGTGGTGGCGGCAGCGTCTCGGGGCTGGCGTTGGGCGGCCGTATCCACACAGGCGACAGCATGCTGTTGGATGCTGCACAGTTGTATGAAAATACGGCATCGTCCAGCGCCCGGAACCTGTTTGACCATTTTTTGCCGTACAATGTGACCGTCGCAGCGCCAGCGCCACGTTTGGGCCCCAGCGGCTCCGCTATTCCTGCTGCTCTCGCTGCCGCCGTCGCTGGGGGATCCGTGTCCACTTCACTTTCGCTGGGCAGGCTTCCCGCGGGCCTTATCGCGGCCAATGCCTCGGGCGCTGGCGGCGGCGGTGGCGGCGGCGGTGGCGGAGCCGGTACTGCGTTCGCGTTTGGCATCTGCGCCGGTCGTGTGCCTAGCATCGGCGGGCCGCCCCAACGTCATATGTCGCCCCTTCGTGGGGAGTCTATGGAGCGCAACGACAGCGGCGCATTTCCGTTGCTGGCTGACGGCGACGCCGACGCCGACGCGGCGGCGGCGGCGGCGGCATTGGATTCAGCCGGGGCGTTGGCAGCGTCAGGATTTACCCTCTCCGGGCCGCCGCCGATGAATCGGTCCGGCCAGGTATCACGTACAGGGACGTACGGCCTCGTGACGTCAGTTCCCGAGGAACCGACTTTGTCGCCGTCGATTTCGCGCCTAGTGCGCCGTACGCAAAGCAATGTCGTAGTTGTCAGCGGCGTTGGCGGCGGCGGCGAAGACGCGTTGGCGGCGGCTGAGTCGTCGTGGCAGGCTGGTACGGCATCAGCTGCCAGCTTTCGAGGGCCGACGCCGGCTCATATGTCTTCGCCGCTGAAGGCGTTTTTGGACGGTGCCGTTGCAACCGGCGCCGGCCGGCGACCCAGCCGGCTTGCTGACCCACCGCCGCCGATCTACCAGCCCTCCCAAGACGATGCCCGTGACCAAGCCGGCAGCGGCGGCGTTCTACCGACCCCATCGTACCTGTACGGATCGGTTCCCGACACGGCGTCGCTGCGTTATACGGCCGGAACAGTAGCAGCAGCAGCTGGCGGCGGCGGCATTATGCCCCATGCGCCGCCATCCCTTCCGAATGAGCTCCGTCAGCGTCAGCTGCTGGACGACAGCGGGGGCGGACCCACGGGTCGCTCTCTACAGGGCTGGCGCTCCTGGACAGAGAGCTCCCTTGGCTTCCTCCGCCGCGTGCAGCGAAGTTTCCGTCACGTCACGTCCGCGGCGGCGGCGGCGGCGGCGGCTTCCAAGGTTAGTTTCTCTGGAGCGCGGTCCGGAGAATCTGGCGGGGGCGGCGCCGCCGCCACAGGCGGTGGGAGCGGCCCCGCCACCGCCATCTCCGCGGCGGAGCCCCTGGAGTTCACGGGCCGCGAAGCCGCCGCCGCCGCCACGGCGGCGGTCTGGGAGTTGGAAAGCCGGTCAAGTTCCCAGTCCCAAGGAACTCCTAGCAGCAATGTGTCACAAGGGTCCAACATTCAGAGCACGCTGCAGCTGCAGCCCATCCGCCAGGGCCGGCGCGGCGGCAGCAGCACCGCCGCTGCCGGCGGCGCCGCCGGCAAGACGCTGTACGCTTCGCCATCAACGTACGGCTCGGAGCTGCGGTCCACGTGGACGGAATTGCCGTACAACCTGGGTATCGACCCCGCAAATGTGGGAGCTGTGCTTGTGTTTCGTGGGCCCCGAGTGAGTGAGGAGGGGGAGGGGGAGGGGGAGGGGGAGGGGGGGCTTCATTGGGAGGGGAATAGTGGGTGGGTGGTGGTGGTGGTGGGGCCTCTTTCCTTTCCTCTCTTTCTCTCTCATCTTTTATTTTCCCTATATTCATGTATCTGATGTCCCTGGGTCAGATCCTTGGTATGGGGATCGTCCTCCTTACCACATCTCCCCTCCCCTCCCCTCCCCTCCTTCAAAACCGCCTACTGGTCAGTTCTGCTTCTTGTACACTCTTTCCTTGCCAGCAGCTTCACTCGTTTACGTGGTTCGTCTTCCCCCTCCCCTCCCCTCCCCTCCCCTCCCCGGGGCCCCTAGGTCCGCTGCGGCCTGCACAGCGGTGTGCGCACCCCGGCGGAAGTCAACCGCCACCACCCCTCGGGCCGCACCAGGTACAGCGGCCCCGCGCTGCTGTGTGCCAAGGCCGTCTCAGACGCCGCCCACGGCGGTATGGTCTTCGCCTCACGGCACACCGTGCAGCTGTGCTCCCCCCAGTTCCTGGCCAACCGCGTGGCGCTGTGGCGGCTGGGCGACTACGTGCTGGGCTCACCACGACTGCCCGCCACAATCTACCAGCTTTCCAATACGGCCCTGGTGCTGAGGGCGGCGCTGCAGCGACCGCTTACTCGGACTTTCATGGCTCTCGGCCGGGGTGAGTTAGCCCCTCTCTCCACCTCCATGTGCGGGTATATATGCATGTAGTATGTCTGTATGTATATATGTATGTATGTATGTATGTATGTATGTATGTATGTATGTATGTATGTATGTATGTATGTATGTATGTATGTATGTATGTATGTATGTATGGATGTATGGATGGATGTATGGATGGATGTATGGATGTACGTATGGATGTATGTATGTCGGGGTGGGTGGGTGGGCGCGTGGGAGTTGGGGGAAGGAGTACTGCTGGGCATGGGCACAGGCACTGTTGACAGAGGGGCCGTGCAGGAGGTATGCGGGGTTTTAAAAATACGACACACACACACGGCCACACGGGCACATGCCCATGGCAAGCCTAGTGCTGCTCCCGCCTTTTCCCCCCGTGCCCCTCCCGCTCTCTTCTCCCCCGGCCCCGCCCCCGGGTGACTTTTGTTTGTATCCCGCCCCCTCGCCCCCTCGCCCCCTCGCCCCCTCGCCCCGGGGGCCCGCGTCCTCCCACCCCCCGCCCGCGCCCCGCCAGGTCTGCTCGATGCCCCGCTGTCGGTGGTGGCGTGTGCGGCCATTCGCCTGGCGCCTAGTTCGCTGCTGGAGAGCGCCCCACCGGCCGTCAGCCTGGAAGCGGCGTCAGTCCTTCAGGTGGGCGGGGGAGGAGGAGGGGGAGGAGGAGGACAGGCAAACCGAAGTGAAGTCGGGGGCCCTCCGCAGGATGCGGTTGGGCTGGGCTGGGCTGACCAGTCGGTGTTCATGCCCCTGACAGTTGGCGGCGGAACTCCCCCTACTCTCCGCCCCGGGGCGGGGGTTCTCGCATATGGTCCCTCCCCTCGCGGGGAGGTAAGGAGGGGGGAGGGGGGGGGAGAGCGTAATGGTGTTTCGGGGTCTTGGATGCTGTGTGGGTGTTTCAGAGGGGCAGTTTAGAGCTGCTCCTCATCCTCCACTCCATCGCACCTCAGGCTCTGTGCTACCAGTACGCGCGGCTGCATGGCGGCTACCTGGCACAGCTGGGCGTGGGTCGGGCGCTGTGCGTCTTTCCGGACGCGTACCGAGCCGCGTTGTGGGCTGCACTGGTGGTGGCGGGTATGGCGGGCCATGGGTGGAGCGATGAGCTACTGGCGACGGAGTGCTGCGGGGCGCGGAGTATCCTTGACTCAAGGGTAGGGGAAGGAGCGATTGGGAAGTGGTTGGGAAGCGGTTGGGAAGCGGTTGGGAAGCGGTTGGGGAAAGAGCTGGGAGGGAAGTAGGTAGGGAAGCCCGTAGTGAATGAGCGTGACACTTGCGAGAATCACTTGATCCAGTCCCGGACGGTTTGGATGGATGTCCATATTCGGCGTTTGGAAGCTCCTGAAGGAGCTTGCTGGAGGGTTTGAGGTGGGGCTAAGCAGGGCCCTATACCCCAAACCCCTCCCGCCGGTCTGACGGCATCATCCTCTTACCTCATTGCTCCAGGGGCGTGAGGTGCAGCTCGCGCGGGGGCCTCGAACACAGGCAGTAGTGCACTTCGGCGCCGTGTCCACCTCGCTACATCCGTTAACCGGTCAATTGTCGTACGAAGGCGGGGCCGTCGACATGACGATGCGCGTCCTACACGGCCTCAGTACGACAGGTGTGGTGGCCACGTTGGAGGCGGCGGCGTCGCTGCGGCGATACCACCCTGCGGAGGCGGCACGCGCAGCGGCGGCTCTGGGTGCCGTCGCTGGCGGCGCCGGCGCCGGCGCCAACGGCAGCAACACCAGCAACGGCCCACCGACGTCGCAGCAGCTGGTTTTGCCGTATAGATACCGTACGGATGTCGAGGGTGGCGGCGGCGATGGCGCAGGCAGCGTCAGCGCTAGTCAACGCAGTAGCGCTGCGACTTGGCGGGACGTGTCCGTGTCTGTACGGTCGAACCTGCAGCAGCAGCAGCTGCTGCCGCCGCCGCACATCCTCGCTTATCCTCACCACCCTCACCATTACCACCACAGCCAGCAGCATCAGGGGCAGCAGCCTCAGGACGGTCTGCTTCCCCGATCCCGATCCTCAGCCGACCGCCTGCCTTTGCCTCCGGGCCACACAAGTCGAGACGCCGGCGGCAGTAGCAGCGGCGGAGGGTACGGCGGCGGCGGCGGCGGCAGTAACCCTCGTGGGCGGTTGTTGTCCAACATGCCGCAGCCTCGGGTGGGCGGCCAAGGTGCGCTAGCCAGCGGGGCCTTAGCTGCTGGACGGCAGCCTCGAGTTGTCGTACCGCGCCGCGCCAGCGGCCCAATCTTGGGCCGTGGCGGCGGAGGCGGCGCCGCCGCCGCCACCTCTGCCGCTGCTGTTCCCATGAGCCCATCTGTGGGTAGTCCTGACGGCATGCTAGCCGCCGCGGCTGCCGCCGCCAGTAGCCTCTCGTGGCGGCGCGGCGACGACGTCCTCCGTGGCAGCAGTACGGCACAACGCAGTCCGGCGCCGCGGCCGGCGCCGCCGGTAATACCAGTTGGGACTGACTCCGCCAACACCTCAGGTACCGACGGCACCGACGGGGGCGGCGGCGGCGGCGGCGGCAGCCGGGGGGAAGGTCACCTGGACAGCGGCGGCGCCGCCGCCGGAACCTCGATGTCGGAGGCAAGGCGTGGAAGCCAGCAGTCCTTCCTTAACCTCGGCGCGATGGCGGCGTTCCGTAGCTGCGGCGGCGGCGGGGGCGGTGCCGCCGCCGCCGGAAGCGGTGCGCCATCGCCTGCCTTGGGCCCCAGCGGCGACGCCGCTGCTGGCGGTGGAGCTGCCGCAGGCGAGGCGGCAGCCCGTGCCGCGGCACTCAGCACCGCCGGCGGCACATGCAACGACTCCCTGTTGCTGCTGCTGACCATGTCGAGCGAGTTGCCGCCGACGTCTGCTTTGGCAGGCTTAACGGCGGCCGCTGGCGGCGGCCGACGCGATTTCAGCAGCGGCAATCCGTTGTTGGGCTGGATGGTCAGCGGCGGCGTACCTTTGGGCAGCGCCGCCGCCAATGCCATGGTCACGAGCACACGGCCGGGCCGCTCGGGGTCTCACCTGGACTCTGCCTTTGCCAGCGCCTCAGACATACGTACGGGGGATTGCACCGGCGCTGACGGCATGGAGGTGTCGTCACTGTCACAGATTGTGGGGCCCCAGTCTGCTGCTCATGCTATAGCTACCACCGCCGCCGGCGAGGATGCGTCGCCACCACAGGAGCCGATGCCGCCGGCGGCAGCGGCGGCGGCGGCGGTGGGTGCGGATGTGGGGGAGGGTGTCAGCGCTGCTAATGTTGCGACTGCTGCAACGGAGGCGGCGGTGACGGCGGCGGACGTGACTGCGGTGGCAGGCGCAGCGATGGCACCTGCAGCGGGGTCATCGACAGTGGCGGCGGTGGCGGCGGATCCCGGCGATGAAGTAAAAAGACGCAATACGACTACCGTGGCTTCAGAGCCGCCGTACACATCATCATCATCATTACAATCACAATCATTACCGCGGACCGTTGCGGCCGCGGAATCGACTTCTCCACACCTGCTACCGCCGCCACTGCCGCCGCCGACGGTGCCGCCGCCGACGAAGGTGCCGCCGCCGCCGACGGTGCCGGCGGTTGGCGCCGCTGGTTTGGTGTCTCAAATCGTCAATGCGCCATCCGTACCGTCGAATGACGCCAGTGACTGTCGACCGGTTCCGCCAGGGGCCGCGATATCGTCACAATCCGTGTCTTCTGGGGGGTCATTGTCGCCGTCGTCGCCGCTGTCCAAAAGGCGCGGCAACACCATTGTCGTGGCGGCGGCCGCCGCCGCCGCTGCCGCTAGCACGGTTGTGGCGGCCGCCGCCGCTGCAGCGGTGGCGCTGCCGACGGCGCGCCAGAGCGTCGACTCCTCCGCCGCCGCCATCAGCTCTACACAGCCCAGCGACTCGGCAGAGGCGAGTTCGGATCCAGACGTGGCGCCATCAGCCGCCATGGTGTTGCCGCCGCCTATCAGACGGCCACCGCCGCTGCCGCCGTACCCGCGACAGCTGCGAGCCCAGCAAAGCGCCCGCGACGCAGCCGCCAGCGGAGGACTAGGCCCAGAGGAGCGAGTCTATCAGTCTTTCACTTTTGGACAGAAAGGCAGCGCCATGGCGCGTCCGCGGCTGCAAGATCTGCTAGCGGTCAGTCCGTACGCCTCGACGGCGGCTGCGGCCATCGCCGCAGTCGCCGGAGGCACAGGCGGCGCTGGCAGCCGCCGCGCCGGGCAGCAGGGCAAAGGGCACGGCGCGCGAGGTCGCGCAGGTGCAGCGGTGGGGTACGGCAACGGTGGCGGCGGCGGCGCGCAGCGAGGCGACGCCGTCACCGAATGGAGTCCGCCGATTGTGCCGTCGGACGCGGCGGGCAGGACCTGGGGTGCGGACTTGCCGTCGCCGCCGTCAAGCCGTACGGGGTACGGCGTTGGGCAGAGTTCGTCGTCCCTAGAGGCCCTCATCCGAGGCCCCAATGGACGCATCAGTCGCTCGTTCACTTTCACGACACATCGCCGCTCGCCCCTGGCTATTTCGTCGTACGCTGGCGATCCGGAAGTCGGTGCCGCCACCAACGGCGTCGCCGCCGCCGGCGGACCAAAACCTATGTCCAGTCTTTCGCGTGTGCTGTACGGCGCCGGTGCGGCTGTCGGCCTAGTGAGCCGGGAGGCTGCCGCCGCCGCAGGCGGCGGGTACGACGCGAGCCGCGAGACAACACCGCGCGGCAGTAGTCAGGGTCCGCAAGGCGCGGCGGCCGCTGCCGCCGCCGCCGCTGCTGCTGCTGCAGCGGCGGCGGC